GGTAGTCGAAAGAGGCTCATGAGGTGGAATTCCATGTTCTTCCCCAAACTGGGGGGGTTTGGGCTCATCCTGGGGCCTTACCTTGTATATTCGGACCAGCCAGTGCTCTGTGGTGTAGGCCTCCTCCAGCACATCCAGCTCAAAGTCCTTGTTGCCGATTTCGGCGTTCCTCACACGGTCATAGCCCGGTGGTCGCTCTAGGAGAGGGCAAAGGACAGGCAATGCTGCTACATCACCCCCCAGAGATGTCAGGGCACCATGTGGCACCCCAAAAGCAGTGTCACCCCCCCCAGAGGTTGGTCGGGGGACTCACTGGCCTCGGTGTAGACCTGGCCGAAGCGGTAGTAGCACATCTTGTACATGAGGCAGTTGAGCAGCACTGGGGAGCCCTCGCGGTCGACACGGAACTCCCCGGTGGGGGTGTAGTAGTCGTGCTCCTTGATGTGGCGCCCTGTGTCCGTGCTGCCCCCGATCCGCACCATCCACAGGAACTTGTTGATGTCTGAAAGGCAGAGCAGAGAGTTGGGGGGCAAAGAGTGAGGGATTGAGTTGGAAAGTGTTGGAAAGAGCCAGCTGAGTTGAGTCCTGGCCAAGAGCAAGGGGTTGAGTTGGGGTGAAAGAAAAAGGAGTTGAATTGAGTTCAAGCAAAAGACTGAGGAGTCAAGTTGAGCTGGAGGGCCAGGAGGGAGGCGTGGAGTTGATCTAGGGAGCCAAGAGCGAGGGGCTGAGTTGAGGGAGAGCTGAAGGTACTTGCAACTCTGTCCCTGTGCCCCCTGGGTGGGTCTGACCCAGCACGAAGCAGGATCTTACCGTCGGATGAGTACCCGGTGAGGCCACCGAAGATGACCAGCACGTAGCTGACGTCCAGCTCCCTCATGATCTCGTAGGCTTTCTCCTCTGTCGATGCCATTGCCTGGGATGACACAGTGTCAGCCACATCGTGTGGTGCCCCAGAAGGGCAGGACAAGGCAGGGGGTGAGGGAAGGACCCACCTGGCCAACACGGGAGATGTGCGTGTTGTTCCAGGTATTGTTGTCCACCAGGATAGTCCGGTTGGCCATGGCAGTGATTTGGTACCCGTAGTCCCACCAGGACATCACCTTGGCATCCTACACCCAAACACCAGCCATGCTGTCAGTGCCACAGCATAGTCCCAGTTGCTCCCAGTTCCTCCCAGCATAGGCCCAGTCACTAGTATGACCCCAGTATGAGTCTCAGCCTGTCCTCACCACCCAAACCACCCCTGGGTACCTCTGGTGTGTTGTGCCGCAGCCAGTAATAAGCTTCTCTGAAGTCATCGAAGATGATCCTGCTGCCGTCCCCACCGCGGGCAGAGAGCACGATGGAGGGGGAGGAGTAGGCCTCGCTGGTCACCCAGGTAGAGTGGAAAGTGTAGGTGATCAGGAAGAAGGCCATGACCAGGATCATGCCACTGGCAACCTGCAGGAGCAACGCGGGAGCTCAGCGCTGCAGGGACGATGCCATCAGCCTCCCACACTCGTCCCCACAAGGACCAGGTCTTCCCGAGCTGGCCCAGTGCTCACCTCGTTTTTGATGGGGTAGGTGGAGTCCTGCTGCTTCTTGCTCTTCTTGTCAGGCCGGCTGATATCCAGGTTCTTCATGTAGGTGGACAACACCTGAGACACCCCAATGCCAGACAGGATGCACATCACTGGGGCCAGCACCAGCATCAGACGCACCTACGGGAACAGCAGAGCTGCTGGAGAAGGAATCCAGGCAGAAATCTAAGAGAAGAGGGAAGCCGATGCTGTTCCTAATCCAGCACCTCCAATTCAGAGGAAACATCAGCATGGCTGATTTTCCTCGTGGGAAGCTGCCACCATCTTGAACACTGCTGAGGGGAGTATCCTGAAGAGCTCAAAATTGGCCAGTGTGCCAAAGCGACTTCAATTTACCAATCTTAGGTGGAGGCATGGCTTCCATGCCAGAACTCAACCACACTTAGGGCTCAGGGTGCCAGAGGAAAAGTGGAAATGGGCTAATTGGACCGTTGACCAGTTTATCACTGGTCCCTCCTTGGAAACCCAGAGAATTTCACAGAATCACAGAATCAATCAGGTTGGAAAAGACCTCTGAGACCATCAAGTCCAACCTATAACCTAACACCACTGTGGCAACTAGGCCAGAGCACGAAGTGTCACATTCAGTGTCCCCTTAAACACCCCCAGGGACGGTGACTCCACCACCTCCCTGGGCAGCACATTCCAGTGTCTGACCACTCCTTCAGGGAATAATTTCTCCCTAATGTCTAATCTAACCTCCTCTGGTGCAGCTGCTTGAGACTTCATCCTCTTGTCCTGTCACTTGTTCCCTGGGAGCAGAGCCTGACCCCACCTGGCTACAACCTCCTGTCAGGGAGTTGAGGAAAGTCATAAGGTCAACCCTGAGTTTCACTTCCCCAGGCTAAATAACCCTAGTTCCCTCACCCTCTCCTTACAGGACTTGTGTTCCAGACTGAAATTTGTTTGGGTTTGCAGCTCAGCTCTGGGAGATGGAACAGACACCCAGAAGCAAGCAGCCAGGGCCAGGGGGGCGCAAGGAACACCCAAACCAGTGAGTTCTGCAACCTCATCTTTCTCTGCTGCTTGCAGGGGCGAAACAACTCCTTATGGAAGGGAGAAAAGCCCTCAGGGTGAAAGAGTCATCATTAATTCAGCAAAACAAATTAAATCAGCTTTGTTAGGACCACTCCGTGGCGGTGCCCAGGAGGCTGCAGCTCTCACCATGACAGCAGAGAAGTACATGCTGGTCACGCCGTACATGATGATGAAGATCCGAGCGTCCGAGAGGTTGCTGAAGCAGTAGTAGAGACCAACTGTGAGGGGGAAGGGAAAACAGGTCAGGGTGTACTCAGAGATGAGATAAAAACAGGCACAGAGGCACACAGTGTTCCCCAGCAGGCTCAGCACTGCCAGGATAAACCCTCTAGTGGAGAGGGTCTGATGACATCCACACTGGGCTCACCTGGGAACATGAAAACGAGGAGCTGCAGGTCGAAGTAGTAGGAGGACCAGGTGGTGGGCTGGTGCTCAGAGACAGAGGCGATGATGGGGATGTTATTCTTGGCATAGGAAGGGTCCAGCAAGGAGTAGAAACGCCCTGTCCATGGGGAGATCTTCCCTATGAAAGAGGAGAAAACAAATCCTTTTCAGATCCAGCAGAGTAACCAGCAATGCCGACACACATGGCTGGGGAAGCATGTGTGGGGCTGAATGAGCAATCCCAGACCTTGTTTAATGTCCATTACTTATATCTGCCATTCTAGAAAGGAAATAAAGCACAACTTTATCCTAAAAAGCCTACTCCCCCGCCCAGCCTCTATTTTTAGCATCTCTTTGCTGCCACAGAGCTCAGTTTCTGTGGCACCAGCTTAGTGTCCCCAGTGCACAGTGGGGCACAGCAGGTCCCTCTCTGCCTCGTGTCCTACAGCTGCTGCTTGAATACTTCCCTGCTAACACACAAACTGGGGCAAGGCCCAGCCTCCCCCACTGAGGGGGTCTGACACTGCAGTAACACAGAGGATGGACAAATTCCATACCCCTGGAAGCGAGGAAAGGGGGTGAAGCACCATTAGCATGGCCACAGTCAGGGGGTACCTGTGAGCATCAGCACGGCGCCGATGCTGAGGAGGACGAAGCCAACGAGGGAGATGACACTCCTGAAGAGGACTTCAAACTGCTGCGGGTTCAGCTTGCTCCGGAGGTAGTCCACGAAGGCATGGATCTGGCACAGGCCGAAGACTCCAAGGGCAGCCATGTGCTCGGAGGAGAGGACGGGCTGGGAGCAGGGCAGAGCGCAGTCAGACGCGGAACGAGAGCCGCGTCGCACCCTTATCAGCTCTCTGCACAAATCACTTCTCGGCACAATCGCTGCCAAAGTCACAGGAAAACAGCCAAATGTTCCCTGCCTGTGGCTGGCACAGCTGGCATGAGGCCCTTTCCTACAACTGCTTTGATTCTGATAAGAATCCACATGGAAAATTTACTGGATTCTGTTGAAACCATGAGCCAGGTAGGATTGTTTCCTGCCACACCAAGACACACATGGCACAAATGTTTTCCCTCATCAAAACCTAAGACATTTTTATGAAAGGCAACTGCTGCCATGAAGGTTATCAGGAGCTTTGGAAGTCATCCAGCAACTCCAAAAGCTCATTTTGCCAAAGGTGGCAAGGAATCAGCATAATGGGAGCTGGAACAAGCAGTCAGCATCCACTTATACCCTCAACGGTAAAGGCAAGAAGGGAAACCAGGTGCCAGCACACTGCTGTTCTGTTACAGAACATCCCTGAATCTGCACATCCTCCTGGTGCCCACCTGGAAGCCAACAAAGGAGATCTGCATGGAGAGGATGGTTCCCAAGCAGTAGACAGTGCAATAGGCTACGTAGATCCTGTGGGAGAAGCGCCCGGTCAGCATCAGCACGAGAACGTGCAGGGGGATGAGGTTGATGAGGAAGACGTAACCACCCCACGAGGAGACCTGCAGAGACAGAACACAGACACAAACACACAAGCTCCAGGACTGAACAGTTGCAGAGCTGAGGTGAAACACGTCAGGTTTGGTTTCCCTGGGATCACAGGCAGGAATTACCCAGTGGCAATACCTCATGGGATCTGCTCTAAGGGCATCCTCAACATCCCAGCTGCCAGAATCCTGATTTGTCAACACTATTAATAAATCTTCACACAAACCCCACTAGTTTTGGGAAATCAAAATGAACCACAGAATCTCCTGAGATGGAAGGAAACACAAGGATCACTGAGCCCAACTCCTGCCCTGCCTAGGACACCCCAACCATCCTCCCTGTGCCTGAGAGTATTGTCTAAACACTCCTGGAGCTCTGTCAGGCTTGGGGCTGTGACCACTGCCCTGGGGAGCTGTTCAGTGCCCAAACACCTCTGAAGGTAGAACCTTTTCCTAATATACAGCCTAACCCTCCCCTGACACAGCTCCAGCTATTCTCTGGGCTCCTGTCACTGGTCACAGAGAGCAGAGATCAGTGCTGCCCCTTGGGAGGAAGTTGTATGCACCACTGAGGTCTCCCCTCATTGAATAGAGGAACCATTCCATTTCCACCTCTGTGGAGGTTGTAGTTCCCTGGACACATGGCTGCAGGAACAGCATGTGGTGGACTCCTGCCACAGTATCCAAAGGGAGCTGGGAGACAGGATCACCAGGCACAGAGAGAAGGGACACTCACCATGTAGAAGTAGGCGAGGGCACACATGGCTGCCCAATAGATGGAGCCTGTCTTGACAGCCTTGATCCACATGTAGTATGTCAGCAACATGCAGAATATGGCAATGCCTGGGGAAGGGCCCAGAGGGGTTAATGTCATCCCTGGGGAGCACCAGAGCTCTCAATCCATTGACAGTATATCCATAAATGCTTTTCCTGCTCCACCAGAGATGCAACAGACCTTGTACAAACAACCAGGCCTGGGAAAAGTGTTTGATATCCCATTGCTGGACTGAAACACTGTGGAGTTTGTCTCACTGTAGGTGACAGCTCACATGGCTTCTTCCAGCCACACCAGCTGGAAGAATTCCTGACACTGCCCCCAAAAGCCCAGCTATGGGAGAGGAACCTGGATCCTCCCTCTGCCCCAGGCACTGACAGCGAGATTCCTGCCATTGCCTGTCCCAGCTGAGATAAAAGCACAGGGGAACCATGCAGCAGCTCCAGTTCTGGGTGGAGCTCATGGAGGTGGCAAAACTCTTTTTGACTGGCAAACAAGGATAGTGGGAATGGGATACACTCACTGCCAGAGTTGAGAAACACTCCCTCTTCTCCACTGCATGGCCAAGAACCACCTCCAACCAGGTTTGTAAAGGCACGAACCTGGCAGGGCTAACTGGCAAATGACAGTGCCTCTGTCGTGCCCTGCAGCACCTCCACCACCATTTTCCAGCGCCCAACAGTCCTTAAAGGTTTCCTTGAGCATCACACACTCACCTTCATTATCATAGGAGCCTGCAACAGACCGAGAGATGTACCCGGGCACAACCGCGATCATGGCGGCCGCGAGGAGTCCTGCCCCTGCATCCTGGGAAACACAGCCGAGGGGAAAATAGCAGGGTTTAGGGATCTTGCTACTCAAAGGAATAAAAATTAAGTGTAGAGATGCAGTTTCAAACAGCCTTCTCACTTCCCAGGAGGTCAGGGGTTAGAGGAGTGTGGTAGTTCCCTCCAAGTCTCTGAGCCAGCTGCTCTCCCCAAAGGCAAACAGCTCCCACTCCTCCAAACAGCCAAAGCCTGTAAGGTGTGTCCTTGTACCTTGAGCTCTTTGGTGAGGTGGTAAGTCACTATGGTGGTGAAGGAGGAGAAGAGAGGAGCCAGGAACACGCAGACATTGCGGATGTCGATGGTGATGTGGAAGAAATGCAGCACGTGGTAAATCGCCGCCGACGTGATCATGAGGCCTGTGGGGAGGAGATGATGCTGTTATCAGGGTGCTCCAAAGTCTGGCCAGGAAGGAGCTGCTGCCCAGGATGCATCCCTGATGTCCATGCTGGCACTCATGGATGTACTCCATAAGCACTCCTCACCCCCTCCCGATTTTCCTGGGTGCATTTGGCTCAGCAGAAGCTTCACCTGGATAAATAGTGCCCCCGATGATCCTGCCCAGGGGATACCATGCTCTGTCATCAAACCAATTGTGGAACTTGTAGAATCCCTCCTCGGCCAGGAAGCGAGTGGTGCGGTAGTTGAAGTACCTGTGTGGGTGAGGCAGAGCTGTGAGGGCTGATGGTGTGCTCCACACAGAGGGAAGCAGCCCAGGTTCCCTCAGCTGCAAAGGTTAATCCCTTCTCTCAGGGGGGTTAAAAGTGGGTTTGCAAAGCTAACAGTCTCCCCTGGGCCTGATTTGATCAGCAACAAGCCTGGGATGAGGACACAGGTTGTCCCAGGAGCTCTCTCTGCTGCTGTTCCCAGCAGAACAGCAACAGCAGGTGATTGCTGGATCCAGAGAGAGCTCTGGGTACCAGATGAACTTTGGGTGTGGAAAAGGAAAACCAAGCTGTGCTGTGACCTGCCCTCCAAATCCTGCACCCTCAGTGGGAATTAACTTAGGCCTGGCACACATCACCCCAATTCCATGTGCTCCAGAAAAGGAAAAACCCAATAGGCCCCAGGAAGTGAGAAGACAACACTTACGGGTCAAACTCATGGATGACGCTCTCAAATCTTAAGACGGAGAAAAGCCTTGTGGAGAAAGCTGCAAACACAGGGAAGGGCAGAGTGAGCACTCAGAGTTTTTCCTGCTGCTTTTCTGGAGTAAAACCAGTTTTGTATTAAATTAGTCATTGGGAAGATAAAGAGACAGTTCTCAAAGAAAATGCACAGAAGGATTATGATGTGCTTCAAAGACAGGAAAGAGCTTCACAGCCCGAAGAAAAGAAGAAGCAGAGGCAGCTCCATCCCAGGGTCCCCTCTGAGGGCACCAGGAGCTGCCCCTGAGGCGTCACACTTACACAGCACAGCTGCCATGGACAGGATGAGGAGCTTGAGCAGTGTGTCCTGCTTCTCGTAGGAGAGCCGGAGGAACCCTAACTTGGTCATCCTCACACCGACGGCTGGGGCTGAGGACGGCTGAACACCTGAACACAAACAGGGAGGTGCCACAGAGTCACTCAGACCACTTCATTTCTGAAGGCTTCATGAAACCAGACCTTAACCCCCACTCCTTCCACCCTCCACCCCTGCCAGGTGCTCTGGCTGCTGTGCCTCCCTCTCCCAAATCCCTTTTCTCCCATCCCACCTGAGCAGTTGCACCAAGTTTTGGCTGTTTCCTTCCTTCACAGAGCCCAGAACCTCTCTGGGGCAGAGGATGTGTCTGTTTCTCTGTGCACAGAACAAAACACGAGTGTAAGCTTTGAGCAAAACCTCTGTGTTCTCCCCGTGCTCCTTAACCACCACCTGCAAGTGATGCATGAAAACATAACCCACAGAGAACACAAGAAATTGGTGCTTCTCCTCCCATGTTGGAGGTCTGAACAGCTCCTGGCTGCTGCCCGTTTGAATTATTCATGTTAAACATATATGTATAAATGGTGGTTTGTTAATGAAGACCAGGACAGTAAATCACTTTCGCTCATACCAGACAATTTGGCTATTTAATTCAACCTCCCTGGGTGTAGGAAAAGCCACAGAAATCCAGGGATGACACACCAAGGAAGTGAAACTGTGGCCAGAGAGTAACAGCTTTAACATCTTTCTACTCCTGACAAGACTCAGACTTCTTTAAATTACTTCTTTGCCCAATCAATCAGGAAATCCCTTTCCACTGCTCCAGGTAGGATCAGAGCCAGAACAGCCCCAGTTCACACCTCTATGCCACACACATTAGGACAGACTAAGATTTAAAACCAAACACAAACTGGGCCTGACAACCCTTTCCTGTGCTCCAGAAGCGGCACACTGGGAGAGGAATAACCTGCGTGGTGGTTATTTCCTGGATGCCCTGGGCACAGGAAGCGGCTGATGGGGGCACAGTGCAGACACCTCCAGGCCCAAGGGGCGGCACAGGACTCTGCTGTCCCCAGAGGGACCCTTCCCGGCCAGGAGCTCACGGGAACACAGAGCCCCCCGTGCTGCCCCCACACCTCGGGCACCCCAACCCGCAGCTC